ATTTCTTTCTTAGGTTTTTGCATTCTTCATCAAACCATTTATCACTGTTATTACTTTTCTTTGGTTTTCTGTTAGAGATTTTTAGATTTGATAGGGAAGCTGAGAGGTCAAATATACTGTTTAGGTTTTCTACTGCCAAGTTTACACCTTCACTATTACAGTGGAACGTTTTGTCCAGGAAGTTGTCTAGAATGGATTGAATTTGTTGTTTCCTAATTGTTTTTTGGTAGGTTTCAACACTACTTTCCTTCCATCTATAGCATTTCTTAATATTATTCAGTTCTTTTGGCTTTGATGCCTCATGATTGAGTATTGCTCTGTTCAAGTAGACTGTGATTTTGCTGTGGTCTGATAGGGGTGTCAGTGGGCTGACTGTGAACGCTCTGAGAGACTCTGGGTTGAGGTCAGTGATAAAGTAGTCTACAGTACTACTGCCAAGAGATGAGCTATAGGTGTACCTACCATAGGAGTCCCCTCGAAGCCTACCATTGACTATGTACATACCCAGTGTGCGACAGAGCTGCAGGAGTCTCTCTGTCTCTCTCTGTCTCTCTCTCTGTGTCAGTAGCCAGTGGGCTTGAGCAGGAAAGATAAAGATGATTTAAGCTGAGTTTCTGTCCCTCTCTACTCTCCCTCTCTCCAAATAAAAAAAGAATAATGATTTGATACCTCAGAATTGCAGGCTCAGTGAGTTTCCATTTGGAATGGCTCACTGGTTTGCTTTTTAAAAGCAGTCTAGTGGAGCATAGTGCTGGCTACATAAAGAATTAACTATTAAAACCAAAAAAGGCTTTCAGAGACTTCAGCATCTCTTCCATGCAGAGGAAGAATGCTGGTAGCTATTGTATAAACTTTAATGCACTGTGCGTGTGTGTGCGTGTGTGTGTAAAGCGGCGGATTCCATCTCCCCTTTCTCTCCAGACGTTCCACATCTCCCTCTCTTCCTATATCTCCTCCCTCTCCCTTCTGCATGTGTGTAAAAGAAAATGACTGTGTTTATGCCCTCAGCCATTCCTGTGCCACTGCTGATAATTGAGGAGAAAATACAAAAGGATTGTACAAAAGTTTCCATTCTCTCCCAACAAACACTGACAAGTCACCTACCATACACAGTTCAACAAGGCTTTGCTGCTCAAACTCGGACATGATTTTGTGTGAGTGTTTATTGTGTGATAGAGCTGCAAATCTATAAATACAAATAAAGATCTATAAATATATATTCATAATAAACCTCTAACCTAAATCCTAACCCATCTAACCCTAATCCAAGTCAGGATGGAATGTCACGTTTAGTGTTAAATGTTTAAGTTGACCTACTCTTATCTAATCACATAACACACAATATGGACAGCAGAGAGAGAGAGAAAGGGAGAGAGAAGATTGGAAGAATGGAGGAATGGAAGGATGGAAGCACTCTGAGGAGAAGTGTTACCATTCCTGTTAGGCAGAGCGAGGGGGTTATGGGAGCTAAGCAACTGAGTTTCAGAAAAGCATGTGACAGAGAGACACTCATGCACGCGCCCTGCAGGCTGAAAGGCAGTGAGGATGAGGGATGAGAGGTAGCACAATGAAAAGGAATCCAGAGGAGAGGTTGTCATAGCAACATTGGGAGAGCATTGCTTTTATTTGAGAGCGAAAACAAGCACTGCTTCCTGTTCTCTCCTATTTTTCTCCTGCGTCTTTCCTTTCTTCATGTCTCTCCTCTCCACATCTGCTCTCCTCCATCTTTATTTTTATTCTCTTTTCCTTTCCCCTCTCTCTCTCTCTCTCTCTCTCTCTCTATCTCTCTCTCGCTCTCTCTGTGTTTGTGTGTGTGTGTGTTTGTGGTCTACTCACACTGAGTCATGGTTGTTAATCATATGCACTGTTATGATGACCCTTAGTTAGGGCTGAGGTGAAGCATGTTGCAGTGTCAAATCCAGGGAATGATTCATATATCAGAGTTAAGCACTAAAGCAAACACACACACGTCTGACTTTCTAGGGTTTCATTTCAGTGTAAGCAAACTGCATGTCAGCATCATCCAAAAGATAATGCATCTCATATTAATGAATGATATGATACAATGACATGATTGATACCATGATGTGATACTGCTGAATCATGATGGCTCTTTCTCCCTCTGTTCTTTATATCGAACCAGGGGGTCTGTAGTGACGCCTCAAACACTGAGATGCAGTGCCTTAGACCGCTGCGCCTCTCGGGAGCCCTATGTCCCTCTGTCCCTCTCTCTCTTTCTATCTATGTGTGTCTCTCAATCTTTCTATCCATGTGTCTCTCTCTCTCTCTTTCTCTCACTCACTCACTCACTCATTTGAATTCTGTCCACAACAGGTGTGTGCTGGACCGGGGAAGGCTCAAGGACTTATGAAACTCTCTCCACAGCACAGCTAAATGGTGTGGTGTGTTGTAACGCTGCAGAGAGAGTGAGAATCTGCTGCCATGGCGACAGGCCCAGCAGTATCTAATAGCAACAGGTTGCTAGGCAGCCTGCATTGGGAGATGAGTTGGACGCTTTTGTGTGTGCGTTTGCATGTGTGAGTTTTGTAACGGATCGTTGAGTTCAGAGAAGAAAATCAAACGCATCAAGTTACATTGAGTTCTCTTTGGCCTTGTAGATTATGGCTGTTGGCGCTATTTGACACAGCATTAAATCCAGTAGGTTTTAATATCCATTACATTGCAATGGTAGATTTGTAAGATTTTTCTATTTAACCTTTTCATCTGAACACAGCCAAACAACTTTAAACCCTCAGACTGTTGACAGCAAGCACATTTCAGAAACTTTACATTCTGGTTACTTTTATTTGCTGGTTGTTTACTAGAAGTAGAATTACATTTTTTACATTTATTCAATATTTTTTTCAGTCACAGACAACAATGACCATGTTGCCATAGAAACAAAGTGACTTCATCAGCCAGCAGCTACAGGTAATTGAACAGATGTTGCTGTAGCTACAGAGCAGGAGAGGTCAGGCTAGTGTGAGAGGGGTGTTGCTGTGCAGCAACATGGAGGTGAGGTACTTAGGCTTCAAGCCTCGCCTGCAGCATCATCTTGTCCTGCAGGGCCCTCCGAAAGGCACTGCCCACAAAGCCCAGGTCACCAACTCATTGGCCACTCCCAGGGAAACATTCTACTTGCCCCTCCCACCTACCCAACCTCGCCTGGAGTTCCTGCACTGGGTGCGAGTGGAGAACAGCGAAGAGCAGGAGAAGAGGTGGAGGGATAGGGCTGAGCGGGAGCAGCGTAATCCCCAGAGAGAGGTGGCCCTGGCCAGCCTGCCTCGCCTCCCTCTACCCCCTCCTTCCAGGATGGGCCCCCACACCTTGGCACGCTTCTTCTTCCAGTGGAAGGGGAGACCCAGGCAAGTTCAGCCCCATCCAGAAACAGCCCCTAGCCCCTACTCCATAGGCAATTCATGTAGTATTCAGGGGGTAGGGGTTGTTTCTGGATGGGTCATTCAAGTTTATTTGCAAGTTGTTATAAATACATTGGAAATCTCAATGACGAGCTTTCACATAAAAAGAGTGCAGGACAAATATGGGTGTACATCCATAGGAACTGGAGCGGGGCCAGGGGGAGCCGGGCAGACTCACCCCAGGATGTGGACCCTGAGTGGGGGGAGAGAGAGAGGCTGCTCTGGCTCAGTCACATGAGGGCTCCACCACTGGACAGCCAGGGCAACATACTGCCCCCTGGTGGCTTTAAAATGTAAGCTTTGTAGAGATGTACAGTATATGCTATTTTGTATATTCTTGGTTTAGACATGCTCAGCCTTAAAATAGTGAATAATTGTAGAGTAGTGACAAATTGTCTTTCCATATATGTGTTCATGCGTGTGTCTGTATGTGTGTGTTTTGAAGGCGTGGACGATGTGGGCCACAGACAGAGGACCCTCAGACTTCAGGAAAGACACACACCTCCACCACCCAAAGCCTCCCCCTGCCGCCTCTCCTCATGCTCCGCAGACACACCCTCTGCCACCGGTTACCTCGGAAACGACCCCCGGAGCACCTGAGTTGCCCCATGAAGGGCGGAGCAAAGGCTTCCTGAACACTCACCCTGTCAGGAAAGACTACTGACTCTATCTTCATCATCGTCTGTGTTGCAACCTTCTTTGTTTAATAGACGGCAGTCCAGTGAACCATTTCAATTTGTGGGGGTTGTTCAATGGAAGTTTCAATGGAACTTCAATGGAAGTTACAAATATTTTGGGGGGCTGTGGGCCACTCTGTGTGGCTATCATGACTACAGGGTTTACTGTAAACACATGTCACTGTGCCTTTTGCTTTGTGTGTTATGTTAAACCGTAAAAAAAATATTAAAAAAGAGGTTGATTCAACATACAATTGTAAGGCAACCAGCTGCAATAGGATTGTGAGTTTGCTCAACAAAATGTTCACACAAACCTATGCTATTCAAGTTTCTATTGCAGCCTTACAATTGTAGATTGAATCAACATATTTTTATTTTATTTTACAGTGTACCTTTTGCTTGTGGGTTCTGCCTCCTTACTCACGGTGTAAGTGACTTTGGTCCAGTGTTATCACTAGCAACACAACAGCATGGAGGTGTTCACTGCAGGCAACATGTATTTTATCCTCTCCAGACTCCAACCAATGACTTGGTCTGAATTTAATGGAAAATCTAAACACAAGCAGCATGTTGTAGGCCTACACACAGTATAGGGTCCTTTCCTTAGGATTTACAATAAATGTGGATATATTTGAGGTATTATGACAGGCCTAAGGCTGTATTTATTATGCCAACATTGCAACCCTGGTGTTGAAAATGAACACATACTGGCAGAGTGAAAAGGGTCATCAGTGTCACAAACATAGACAGTCAAATCTGTCATCATTTTGGAATGTGGAAGGTGTGTGGGTACTTAGCCTACTGTACAGACCAGACCTCTGCTCAGACCTTCCCTTACCTGAGTTTTTTTATACTTAAAAAAGAAGAGGTTATTTAGTTCAGTAACCACAACACAAGTCCAGTTATGGCCGAGAAATCTGAACAGACTGACGCCCCTTCTTCTCCAGATAAAGACCTAACATTACCGGTCATGTTTCCCAAACCGCACACAGAAGATGAGGGGGATGCTACTACCTTCTCATCGTCGACATGGAACCCAAACCTGTGGAAGATGTTGCATGCAGCGGAGACCAGATGGAGCGAGCAGTCTCAACCGCCCAACAGAAACGGGGCGGAGGCGTCCGTTGGGGCGGGAGAGACAGTGATCGAAGCGCTAAATATGGAGAGGGTGAGGATAAATTAATTACCTAGACTTGGCTTTTAGCCTACTTTTACTGTCGAGGTGGGGGGTTGGGTTTTAACTTCAGTAGGCTACTACATGTTGCTGAACGCGCGTTCAACAGTTTGAGTTGCTCAATCAAAGCAACTTTAGTTGGGTAGTAGCCTACCATATTGACTGTGACAGCGAAGCAATGTGTGATAGGCTACATTTCATGGTTTGAAAGATGAAGGCAGTATCTGCTCTGACCTCAATTGCGAGGATTAAAAGCATTATCAAACGCGAACTCGTATGCGCCAAGACATGCGCCAACCGTATACACCACCACAGCAAATAATGGTGATCAAATAAAAATGTTGCGGACGCATGTTTCTGCAATGAGGCGCGCATATCCGAATGGGAGCGTCTGTAAATCGTGATGTTACTGTGACCGAAGCACCTAGAATGATAAAGGTAAATGAGAAATGTGTTTAATATGTAGGGGGTTAGTTAGGCTATTGCTGGGACTAAAAGACAAGGCTATATAGTCTACCTGGTATTTGTAAAGTTATGACCCAAAAGGAACCAAACCTGGTCTCAGCGCATTTCATATTATTCTGTACATAAATCCGAGATACTACAGTATGATATTATACATTTCGTATGGTATGTATTAATGTGTGGATTTTCTCACCCATTTAGTATGATGTGTTACAAATTACAATTCATATTATATTTTATGAATGTTGCTAATGTTAGCTAGCTCGCTAATGTTAGCTAGGCTAGGAGTTAGGGTTAGGGTTAAGTTTAGGAGTTGGGTTAAAGGGTTAGGGGAAGGGGACGGGTTAGATAACATGCTAAGTAGTTGCAAAGTAGCTAAAAATAAGTACATTATTGAAAAGTTGCTAATTAGCTAAAATGCTAAAGTTGTCGGTGATGAGATTCAAACTCACAACCTTTGGGTTGCTAGAAGTCCGTGTTATACGCCCACTCATCTAACCCGACCAACCACCCTCCTTTAGTTTTTGTCTTAAGTAACCATCTGTCTTATGTAATCATACTAAATGGAGAATCTCTGATTTATGTACAGAATAATACGAAATGCTCAGAAATCAGATTGGTGTCCAGAACATTATGAATGGACCTTAAAAGGTGGATTTGTTCAATATACAGTACCAGTCAAAAGTTTGGACACAGCTACTCATTCAAGTGTTTTTCTTTATTTTTACTATTTTCTACATTGTAGAATAATAGTGAAGACATCAAAACTATGAAATAACACATATGGAATCCTGTAGTAAGCAAAAAAGTGTTAAACTAATCAAAATATGTTATATTTGAGATTCTTCAAAGCAGCCACCCTTTGCCTTGATGACAGCTTTGCACACTCTTAGGCCCTAATCTATAGATATCACATGACTGGGAATACAGATATGTGTCACACTAACCTTCGCTTTGGCTCCCCATCCTGTCCAGCTCAGCATTCGGTGTCGCCGGCCTTCTAGCTGCTGCCGAACCTACTGTTGGCAAACGCCCTTCACTCATCAACCCGGACTTGTCTCGTCATCATTACACACACCTGGTTCCAATCCCCACTCTATCACCACATACAGTGGGGGAAAAAAGTATTTAGTCAGCCACCAATTGTGCAAGTTCTCCCACTTAAAAAGATGAGAGAGGCCTGTAATTTTCATCATAGGTACACGTCAACTATGACAGACAAATTGAGGAAAAAAAATCCAGAAAATCACATTGTAGGATTTTTAATGAATTTATTTGCAAATTATGGTGAAAAATAAGTATTTGGTCACCTACAAACAAGCAAGATTTCTGGCTCTCACAGACCTGTAACTTCTTCTTTAAGAGGCTCCTCTGTCATCCACTCGTTACCTGTATTAATGGCACCTGTTTGAACTTGTTATCAGTATAAAAGACACCTGTCCACAACCTCAAACAGTCACACTCCAAACTCCACTATGGCCAAGACCAAAGAGCTGTCAAAGGACACCAGAAACAAAATTGTAGACCTGCACCAGGCTGGGAAGACTGAATCTGCAATAGGTAAGCAGCTTGGTTTGAAGAAATCAACTGTGGGAGCAATTATTAGGAAATGGAAGACATACAAGACCACTGATAATCTCCCTCGATCTGGGGCTCCACGCAAGATCTCACCCCGTGGGGTCAAAATGATCACAAGAACGGTGAGCAAAAATCCCAGAACCACACGGGGGGACCTAGTGAATGACCTGCAGAGAGCTGGGACCAAAGTAACAAAGCCTACCATCAGTAACACACTACGCCGCCAGGGACTCAAATCCTGCAGTGCCAGACGTGTCCTCCTGCTTAAGCCAGTACATGTCCAGGCCCGTCTGAAGTTTGCTAGAGTGCATTTGGATGATCCAGAAGAGGATTGAGAGAATGTCATATGGTCAGATGAAACCAAAATTGAACTTTTTGGTAAAAACTCAACTCGTCGTGTTTGGAGGACAAAGAATGCTGAGTTGCATCCAAAGAACACCATACCTACTGTGAAGCATGGGGGTGGAAACATCATGCTTTGGGGCTGTTTTTCTGCAAAGGGACCAGGACGACTGATCCGTGTAAAGGAAAGAATGAATGGGGCCATGTATCGTGAGATTTTGAGTGAAAACCTCCTTCCATCAGCAAGGGCATTGAAGATGAAACGTGGCTGGGTCTTTCAGCATGACAATGATCCCAGACACACCGCCCGGGCAACGAAGTAGTGGCTTCGTAAGAAGCATTTCAAGGTCCTGGAGTGGCCTAGCCAGTCTCCAGATCTCAACCCCATAGAAAATCTTTGGAGGGAGTTGAAAGTCTGTGTTGCCCAGCGACAGCCCCAAAACATCACTGCTCTAGAGGAGATCTGCATGGAGGAATGGGCCAAAATACCAGCAACAGTGTGTGAAAACCTTGTGAAGACTTACAGAAAACGTTTGACCTGTGTCATTGCCAACAAAGGGTATATAACAAAGTATTGAGAAACTTTTGTTATTGACCAAATACTTATTTTCCACCATAATTTGCAAATAAATTCATAAAAAATCCTACAATGTGATTTTCTGGATTTTTTCCCCTCATTCTGTCTGTCATAGTTGACGTGTACCTATGATGAGAATTACAGGCCTCTCTCATCTTTTTAAGTGGGAGAACTTGCACAATTGGTGGCTGACTAAATACTTTTTTCCCCCACTGTATACTCCCTCTGCCGTTTGTCTTTGTTGGTCATTGTAAATGTTACATGTTTTCCTGAGAGGAATCTCTCCTACTATTTCCTGAGTACTTTATATTTTGCACTTTGGATTAGCCCTGTGCCTTTTTGTTTATGAAGATATATTTTGAGCACAACACCATTTGGGTTTCGTCCCACTTTGATCTATGGTGCGACTGCCTCCTGCCTACTCCTCTCTACACCAGTGACAATATGCATTGGTTGGTCGTAGATACCTTTAAAAAAAAGTAGGGGCGTGGATCAGAAAACCAGTCAGTATCTGGTGTGACCACCATTTGCCTCATCTCCTTCGCATGGAGATGATCAGGCTGTTGATTGTGGCCTGTGGAATGTTGTCCCACTCCTCTTCAATGGTTGTGCGAAGTTGCTGGATATTGGTGGGAACTGGAACACACTGTCGTACACGTCGATCGAGAACATCCCAAACATGCTCAATAGGTGACATGTCTGGTGAGTATTCAGGCCATGGAAGAACTGGAACATTTTCAGCTTCCAGGAATTGTGTACAGATCCTTGCGACATGGGGCCGTGCATTACCATGCTGAAACATGAGGTGATGGCGGCAGATGAATGGCATGACAATGGGTCTCAGGATCTCGTCACAGTATCTCAGTGCATTCACAGTTCCATGTAGTGAATCTGTTATTCATTGCGTTTGTATGGGCTAATAGCAGTAAGGCCAGAAATACATTCATCAAATCATGTTTTTATATATTTTTTTTATACTTCAAGGGGTCTTAAAATTCCAAATCAAATAGCAAAATGATCCTGGGTATGACCTGTTTAAAACAATTCCATATAGTTTAGCAGAACCCCCCCGGCTTAGACAGGGTTTAGACTCTTATGGGTAATCAACTTCTAGATATGCCACACCTGTCAGGTGGCTGGATTTTCTTGGCAAAGGAGAAATGCTCACTAACAGGCATGTAAACTAATTTGTGCCCAACATTTGAGAGAAATAAGCTTTTGTGTGTATGGAACATTTCTGTGATCTTTTATTTCAGCTCATGAAACATGGGACCAACACTACATGTTGCGTTTATATTGTTGTTCAGTGTAGCAAATCTACGGGGGACAGAGACATTTTTAAAGCTTAGGCTACGTTCAGTAAAGGCCTTTAATGAGGGGCAAGATGATGTTACACTGTTGATGTTACACTGTTGTCAGTGAATATTCATAAGCAGGCGTATAAAGGTTGATTAAAGTTGTGAACCTGTACTAGGTCAGTTTGGTGACATTCAGAGGGTGCCAGAGTGACCCACTTCATGAGGTAAACACACCACATACATACTTCATTAGGTAAGCTATACTGAGAGTCTGGGCCTTCAGAAGAACAGGTTCACTCTGAAGCCTTTGAAGGTCAGAGTGTGCAGCTATCGTCACCTACACCTTATTTATATAGGCTTTATTTGTGTGCGTGTTCAGGTCAGTTAGAGTTACTCCTTCACGTATGAAAAATGTATGCACTCACTAACTGTAAGTGGCTCTGGATAAGAGCGTCTGCTAAATGACTAAAATGTAAAATGTACCAAGCTCTACCAAAGTAAAGTGTGCTGCTGTTCTCCACACTGATATGAGTTTCTCAACCTGTCCTGAACACTCTCTACTGGTTCAGTCCCACTCAGGTAGCAGGCGTGCATCTGCATCAGTGGAGGCTGCTGAGGGGAGGACGGTTCATAATAATGGCTGGAACGGAGCAAATGGAATGGCATCAAGCCCATATGTTTGATGTATTTGATACCATTCCACTAATTCCGCTCCAGCCATTACCACGAGCCTGTCCTCCCCAATTAAGCTGCCACCAACCTCCTGCCAGTGGCCGGTGTTGTATATTCAGGTTGTACCTTTCGTACCGCCGTGCTTACTTTAGTTGTATGCACAAAACATAATGGGAGTTGTGTTGAAATGATCAGGTTCAAATAAATGGTTGAACTGAATTCCTCTCTCCCGTCTCATCATTATTGAATTGTTATAAAGACGTGGTTATGAAACCCACGAGACATAACAAAAGATTGGCAACGCGTAAGTCTGAACCTACAGTTGGTTTTTACATGTTTAAAACTATTATTTTCTGTGGTACAGTCTAGGCTAATGGTAGCACAGTGTATCGCTAGCAGATGCAAATTCATGCATAATCGAGCTAGCTAAGAGAGAGAGTTAGCATCGTCAGGGATGGCAGAAAAGGATTTGAGATGAGCATTGGAGCGGGAAAACAACGTGCTTAAAAAGGGAGGAATATACAGTGAGTAAAGGAAAGGACATTTATTCAACTTTGAAGACAAACTTTAGAATTAAAAACTGCTAAACAAGCGAACTTGAGGAGGAAACGTCAGTGAATGAAGATCACGTGACTGAGGAAAATATTGCCATGGCAGAACAGAACGTTGTCATGGTTGAGGACAATATTAGAGTGAGTGACAATCAGGAGCCTATTGAGAAACACATTTTTTTGGGAAACGTACAGTTGGATGAAAGAATTGAGCACTGGAACTTATATAAAGAACAGTTTGAATATTTTGTTCTTGCAAATGACATTGATGAGGAAAAAATTGTGCCAAATTAGTTTTGTGTAATGGGGCCGAAGACATTTAATTTATTACGCAGCCTGCTACAGTCAGACATGCCAGGTAATAAGACGTATGGGGACATTGTAGAAATACTGAAAGGACACTTTTCACCAAAACCGATAGTTATTGCTGAAAGGTTAAGGTTCCACAGAAGAAATCAGGAAGAGGGAAAATCAGTGACAACGTTTACTGACAGAGCACTGTGAGTTTAATGATGTTTTAAATGACACCATTAGAGACAGACTGGTATGTGGGCTATGCAGTGAAGCTACACAAAATAGACTATTGACTGAAAGTAATCTGACCTTGGCAAAGGGCATTGAATTCAGTGTGTGCAAGGGTAATTGAATTCAGTGCCTTCAGAAAGTATTCATACCCCTTGACTTATTCCACATTTTGTTGTGTTACAGCCTGAATTCAAAATGTGTTAAATTGTATTTAACAACACAATACCCCATAATGACAAAGTGATGTTTTTGAAATATTTGCAAATTTATTGAAAATGAAATAAATAAATATCTCATTTACATAAGTATTCACACCCCTGAGTCAATACTTTGTAGAAGCACCTTTCGTGGTTATTACAGCTTTGAGTTGTCTTGGGTATGTCTGTATCAGCTTTGCACATTTGGATTTTGTTTTTTTCTCCCATTCTTCCTTGCAGATTTTCTCAAGCCCTGTTAAATTAGATAGGGAGTGGCGGTGAACAGCAATCTTCAAGTCTTCCCACAGATTTTCAATGGGATTCAAATCTGGGCTTTGGCTGGGCCACTAAAGGATTTTCACATTCTTGTTCTGAAGCCATTCCAGCATTCCTTTGGATGTATGCTTGGGGTCATTGTCCTGTTGGAACATAAATCTTCACCCCCAGTCTAAGGTCGTTTGCACTCTGAAGCAGGTTCTTATCAAGGATTTGCCTGTATTTGGCTCCATTCATTGTTCCCTCTATCCTTGCCAGTCTCCCAGTCCTTGCCACTGAAAAGGATCCCCATAGCATGATGCTGCTACCACCATGCTTCACAGTAGGGATGGTGTTAGACAGGTGATGAGCTGTGCCTGGTTTTCTCCAGGCGTAGCGCTTTGCATTCAGGCCAAAGAGGTACAATTTTGTCTCATCAGACCACAGAATCTTTTGCCTTATGATCTGAGTCTTTCACATGCCTTTTTGCAAACTCCAGGCGTGCTGTCATGTGCCTTTTTCTCAGGAGTGGCTTCCGTCTGGCCACTCTCCCATAAAGCCCAGGTTGGTGAAGTGCTGTAAAGACTGTTGCACGAATCACCTTCCTCAGAGCCTTGTCTAAAAGCATTGTTTGACTTTGTCATTATGGGGTATTGTGTGTAGATGGGTGAGGGAAATAATATCAATTTAATCCATTTTGAATTCAGGCTGTAACAAAATTTGGAATAATTAAAGGGGTATGACTACTTTCTGAAGGCATTGTAGCTGCAAAAGAGGCTCAGCAGTTGAGTTCATCAGGACGAGTGTACAGAGTTGCAACTGAAAATCAGGGACAGAGGAATCGAGGCACACGCTTCCGCTGAGGCAAAGCGGGACATCAGTTTCAAGTTTCAAGTTCTATTAGTCGTATGTACAGGATACACATGGTGTACACCATCCAACAAGCTCATCACCAAGCTCAGGGCCCTGCGTCTGAACCCCTCCCTATGCAACTGGGTCCTGGACTTCCTGACGGGCCGACCCCAAGTGGTGAAGGTAGGCAACAACACCTCCGCCACGCTGATCCTCAACACGGGGGTCTCACAGGGGGTGCATGCTCAGCCCCCTCCTTTACTCCCTGTTCACCCATGACTGCGTGGCCACGCACGTCTCCAACTCAATCATCAAGTTTGCTGATGACACAACAGTGGTAGGCCTGATTACCAACAATGACGAGACAGCCTACAGGGAGGAGGTGAGAGCCCTGGCAGAGTGGTGCCAGGAAAAGAACCTCTCCCTCAATGTCAACAAAATGAAGGAGCTGATCGTGGACTACAGGAGACAACAGAGAGAGCCCGCCCCCATCCACATTGATGGGGCCGCAGTGGAGAGTGTCAAAAGCTTCAAGTTCCTTGGCGTGCACATCGCTGACGACCTGAAATGGTCCCTTCACACAGACAGTGAGGTGAAGAAGGCGCAACAGCACCTCTTCAACCTCAGGAGGCTGAAGAAATTTGTCTTGGCCCTTAAGGCCCTCACAAACTTCTACAGATGCACCATTGAGAGCATCCTGTCTGTCTATATCACCGCCTGGTATGGCAATTGCACCTTCCGCAACTGCAGGGATCTCCAGAGAGTGGTGCGGTCAGCCCAACGCATCATCAGGGGAAGTCAGCCCAACGCATCATCAGGGGCACACTGCCTGCCCTCCAGGACATCTACAGCACCCGGTGTCACAAGAAGAACAAGAAGATCATCAATGACCTCAGCCACCCGAGCCATGGCCTGTTCACCATGTCTCCCATCTAGAAAGAGGAGACAGTACAGGTGCATCAAAGCTGGGACTGAGAGACTGATAAACAGCTTTTATCTCCAGGCCATCAGACTGTTAAATAGTCACCAATAGCCGGCCTCTGCCTAGTACCTTGCCCTGAACCTTAGTCACTGTTACTAGCTGGCTACCACCCAGTGCTCTACCCTGCACATTAGAGACTGCTTTGCCCTATGTACATAGAGTCATTGAACTCTGGTTACTTTAGTTATGTTTACATACTGCTTTACCCACTTTATATGTGCAATGCATTCAGAAAGTATTCAGACCCCTTGACTTTTTCCACATTTTGTTACGTTACAGCCTTATTCTAAAATGGATTTTAAAAATGTTTCCCCCTCATCAATCTACACACAATACCCCATAATGACAAAGCAAAAACAGGTATTTAGAAATTTTAGCAAATGTATTAAAAATAACAAACAGAAATATCACATTTATATACGTTTTCAGACCCTTTACTCAGTACTTTGTTGAAGCACCTTTGGTAGTGATTACAGCCTTGAGTCTTCTTCGGTATGACATTACAAGCTTGGCACACCTGTATTTGGGGAGTTTCTCCCATTCTTCTCTGCAGATCCTCTCAAGCTCTGTCAATTTGGATGGGGAGTGTCGCTGCACAGCTATTTTCAGGTCTCTCCAGAGATGGATTCAAGTCCGGGTGCTGGCTGGGCCACTCAAGGACATTCAGAGGCTACATTTTGACTCAGGAACAGGAGTGGAAAAATATGATTTTCTTTCAGCATATTGAGAGAATTCGAATGCGTGGTTAGATACCGTCTGTAGAGGTGCTATCTTTATTAGCATTATAAAAGCTGATAGTAGGCTATTTCAAACACAAAAATATGAAATCTTATCAGAAACATGTTGGGTCGTTTTCACAGCTTTCTATTTCTTTACAACCGGTCAAACGGATGTCATTTATTTATTTTTTGGTCCCTAAAAGTCTTTGCTTCACGAAAGAAGCAGAGTTGACAGGGAAAACTTTACCAATGTCAACTAGATTGAAGCATTCATTCTATCGATTTATGAAATTCTGGTGAGCAAGGGTTTAGCCTATTTAGTCTTCTAGGGAAACATATAGGCCTAATGACAGAAGAGAAGCTGCATGTATCTAATTATAGACAAGTTGACTAACAAATAGCCTACCAAAATGTCCGAAATTATAAGCAGATACATATCTAAACCTGGCCCAAAAAATATTGCACCCCCTGTCAAATCATTCCTCCATCCCCGACTAGCCTACAGCGCATTTTCTATTTTAGCAGGTTAGGGTCGAGTGCAGGCCTCAGATTTTCACTTTATCACATATAGGCCTAGTAAGCGGTTGCGGATGGGTTATTAGTAATTGTGGGCGGTTGCGGGTGAACAAACAGCTGACCCGCGCAACAGTTTCGGTATCCTTCCTTGTGTGTCAAAGATCAAGCAGCAGTTTGAGTCTTTAACATGAATTCCTTAAGTTCTGAGTATACACAGGTATGCAGTGCACCTTTTCTCAGGGGAAAGGCTACTAGTGTTATAAAACTGTGCCGGTTTGATGTAGTCCTTTGAATCAGGTCAGCTCATTTAAGTGCAGGCAGTATTTACCTTTCTGTTCAATGTCAACAAGTCAGTGAGTGAGTGTATTATCCTTCAACAGCTGCAGTATCTACATAGGAAGAGAGCCTTATGGGTCTGGTTAGTACATAGGATCAGTGAGTTGTACAGTCTTTCTACCTCCGATTTCCATCCCCTCCCTTTCCCCAGCAATGTTAACTCATCCTGTATGGTTTGTGTTCTTATCATGCTATTGCTGTTATTATTATGGTTTACTATGGGGTCTCACAGGTTTCTTTGATAACACTACAGCCTGGCCAGAAACAACCCCCATCCCCTTCTCCAAGGCTCTACCCTCCTGTTGTATTCACACCTGAAGAGATTAGATAGGGCAGATTCCCCCACAGCTTGTAAACACAAGCTGTAGGGGTCAAGTGGAAGAGAATAGAGGTGGTTCAGGGTCAGGGATGTTTTATCATGAAGAAGGTTAATGGGAAGGTGGTGCCCTGTGTGAGTTTGTTGGTGGACAAATGAGCTCTGTAGGCCCTACCTGTGAAAACACTGGCCTCCATTGGCAGCCCAGAGGATCCATCCCATGGCTCAGTTCAGCTGCTCAGACAAGGCAGCCATACAGTACAAATACATGTTGGCTACAATAACTGAAATATCTCTTATTAGAGTTACACATTTTGGGCTTGTTTGACATTCTGTAACTCTCTATGTGCGTCTCTCTCTGAGTGCTCACCATGCGCAAGGAGTAGGACAGGACAGAAATGTGAGCTTCTCTTGAGGAAGTACAGTAATGTACCATGAGAAACTGCTTCATAGGCTGCGTTTAGACAGACAGGCCAATTCTGATGTTTTCTTCACTAATTGGTCTTTTGACCAATCAGATCAGCTCTGAAAAAGATCTGATGTGAATAGGTCTGATGTGATTGTTCAAAATACCAATTAGTGGAAAAAAGATCAAAATTGGGCTGCCTGTGTAAACGCAGCCATACTGACCCTCATTATAAACCATTAAAAACACTGAGGTTAATGACCCTTAATGAGGCAGCTCTTAACGAGGTAGTAAGTGGACAGTTTGATCCTGAGCAGCACATATGGCCTTTATGAGTCTTATGATCCACCCGTGAACCATTGGAGGGTGATTGAGGGTGATCCAGGCAGGGTGCATTTCTGATTTTAGAAATAATTAGTATTGTGCAGCCCTCACCAAATGATACATTCTGGTTAAGGGAAAGGGGCTATGGGTAGAAATGGAAAGTGTATACAAATCGGAAACAGACCCAGATTAGATGAGAAGGATGAATAGCCCTGGGCTAGGGGAAGGGGGCTAACGGTAGAAATGGAATGTGGCCTGGAGTGGGGGATCTGAAGTCAGCATTGTTGTAGGAATGGAATGTGGCCCGGTGTGGGGGATCTGAAGTCAGGAATTCAGCTCCACAGAATTCTGACTGACCCATGACCCTTATCAGCTAATCCTATTAAGAGCTGCCAACTCAGCTCCACTCGGACCGCATGAGACGAGGGGTGTACCCACGGCCTAACACGAGTGTGTGTGCGTGTGTGAGGGGGGGGGGGGGGGGGGGGGGGGGGGGTCAAGCCAGAAAACTATTCTGAGAGTATTAGACTGTACAGGTGTGTGTGTGTGTGTGCCCGTGTGTGAGTGCAACCTGGTCTCAGAACATTTTGTATTATTCTGTATGTAAATCCGAGACACTCAATTTAGTATGAAATGTTACGAATTACAATTCATATTATATGTCACGGATTTGCAAAACGTACAATATGTTACGAATTTGTAAAAACGTACAATATGTTACGAATTTGCTAAAAGTATGATATGTTATGAATTCTAGCTAGGTGGCTAGATGGCTAATGTTAGCTAGCTGGCTAACGTTAGCTAGGCTAGGGGCTAGGGTTAGGGATAGGGTTAAGTTTAGGAGCTAGGTTAAAGGGTTTAAGTTAGGAAAAGGGTTAGCTAAAAGGGTTAAGGATAGGGTTAGGGGAAGGGTTAGTTAAAAGGGTTCAGGTTAGAGTTATGGTTAGGGGAAGGGTTAGCTAACATGCTAAGTAGTTGCAAAGTAGCTAAAATGTTGTAAATAGTTGAAAAGTTGCTAATTAGTTAAAATGCTCAAGTTGTCCGTGATGAGATTGGAACTCGCAACCTTTGGGTTGCTAGACGTTCGCGTTATACACCAACCCATCCACCCCGACCAATCACCCTACTTTCGTTTTTGCCTTAAGTAACCGTCTGTCTTATGTAACCATACCAAACGTAACATATCATACTAATTTGAGTATTTCGGATGTACATTTACTATGTTACGTCTAGTCTATGAGACCAGGCTGGTGTGTGTGTCACTTTGGAAGTGAGTATTAGGTAGAACAAAGCCCAGTGGGCGTGGAGTTTTAGGGAGA